AGGCAGAGAGGCAGAGAGGCAGAGAGGCAGAGAGGCAGAGAGGCAGAAAGGCAGAGAGAGAGGCAGAGAGAGGCAGAGAGGCAGAGAGGCAGAGAGGCGAGGCAGGGGAACCAAAACACACGAGGCCTGCCTGACTATATAGGGATGCCAATACGCTGGTAATAGTGAAAGTGTGACTTGCCAGGCCCCGAGGGGAATGGGGAGATGAGTTGGGAGAAGAGGTGGCAAGCACAGGAAGCTGGGATTGAGGCTCAGTGGTAGAACACTTACTTGCCAAATACAGGTGGGGCCCTAGATTCTGTCCCCAGTACTGAGAAAATAAACAGTGAGAACCAAGACACCCACAGACTGAAAATGCTTTAAAAGAGAAAAGACAGAAAGGAAGAGAAATACTGCTCAGATCTGCAGTTGAGGAGCATGACCTTGCACTAGGGAGATACAGCAGGTTCAGGAGGGGAGATGCAAGGGGTTAAGACTCCGACATGGGAATCTGGTGATGGAGAGAGACGGAATTCAATCTGTTGATGTTACTTACCTCCATTCCATCACAATGAATGGGTCAGCTTGGAGAAGGCAGTGCTGAGATCCAGACCCAGGTCTGTCTCAACTCACTGGTCACCAGTGCCAGGTTCTTAAAGCATGGGGACACTTGGCATGGCCAGGGAGGTGAACACTGAAGGAGATGCTGAGAGTCCATAACACAGGAGTAGCCATTCTTATGTGCTTATAGCTGCCCCCAAGGCAAACTTCAAGGATGCTACAGTCTGGGACTAGCTGTCACCTACACTCTGTCCTTGTCCTTTCTTTTCCTTAAGCTCCCATTGGACGATACATGTAAAAACGTGATCCAACAGAGATGTGAACGCTGCCTTTGTTATTATTCAGAGCAGCACCCCAAATTTCTCCCAGGAAACTTCTTGGTTCATGTTGCCCATTTTCTTGGTCTGCCCAAAGGCCTGATTTTGTGTGTGTGTGTGTGTGTGTGTGTGTGTGTGTGTGTGTGTGTTTGTCAAACAATTTGTGTTGCTTTGTGGAACTTTTAACCTCAGCACCATTGTGTGGCCAGATGCCGGGTAAAATGATGAGTAGGATTCACTGCCAGGTCTTGGAGGGTCCCCAACACCAGGAGCAGCAACAGACATGACATTTCAAGACAAGAAGAAGTGTCTTAAGTGCAGCCATGAGCTTAGGACCATGGAAGGATCTTGCCTATTTAGGGAGTTCCGAGGAGACAGAGGTCACTGTTAGGGTATGGTTAACGTGATATAGATGGGAAGGCAGAGCTGAGAGCCATCTGTGGAAGGCATACACTGACCAGGCTGTGAACCCCAAGAGAGGAGCCAGGCTGAGGGCTAAGCTCATTCAGGAAGCCTTTCCATGTCAGATCTCTCTGGAGCTGGATCCAGCAGGCTTGTAGTGGGAATCCCAGCTTCTCTGCGAATTAGCTTCAGTGGAACAGGGAACTCGCCTGAACTAGCTGGGAGATGGAAAAATAGTGGAGACACAATGGTTAGTGTCCCATGGTCCCTGCATTCTCTTTTGCCCTGTGGTAAGGGTAAAGAGGGCAATGAGGCTGTCAAAAGGACTGGGAACACAGCAGACTCTCCAAGGGAGGGAGCCTTGTTAAGATGGGACCATGGTAGGAAGCTGAGGCACAGGGACATTGTGAAGGCAAAGGCAATCCAAGGAAGGAACATCTCAGCAACTAAGGCAGAGATGTCCAGAGAGTACGACAGATACTGCCACCAGGGGGCACTGTGAGAGAAAAGCTGAGTTGTCCACCACTCGGGCTGGACAGTGAACTCAGGCTCTACACTGACTCCCAATCCCTTGTCACCAGCTTCAGTGATGGGTCAGGCACGTGTGGTCCAGGTGACAAGGCTGAGAAAGAATCCATACTTCAGCTGCTTACCCAAGAGGGAGTCAGTGTCTTGCTGCTTGATCAGTCCATATACTAGCTGACCCTGGTCCTGACTGTCATCCAGGCCAAACAGTAAGAGTTGTTGGTTTTTTGTTTGTTTGTTTGTTTGTTACTTCTTTGTCTTATTTCACAGAAGCCTGGAATGCAGATAATCACTGTAATCAATCAATCAATCAATCTCTCTCTCTCTCTCTCTCTCTCTCTCTCTCTCTCACACACACACACACACACACACACACATACACACCCTTGAGCTCTGGTTGTTCTGCCAGTGTGAGAATCTGTCCCACACTTCATCTTCAGGAGCCTCAGCAAACCTCATTTAATAGAAGACTGAAGCTGGGGGAGGCTAGTATGTCCAGGTTCCAGGAGCGACCATCGTCCAAACCTCTCCCTCAATGCCATTACCCTAAGCGAACCCATCTACCCTGCTTTCAGGGATTCCCAGAATCTGACTGTGTGCTCCTTTGGAGAGAGCACCCACGTGGCTTCACGTATCCACAGAGGGTCTGTGGGCACTTCAAGACAGGTGGTGTGAGCAGAGCAGGGTGTGTCCGAGCCTCCTGAGGCTCCACCTTTGAGAGATCCGACAGGCCCAGAACTGTCTGACTGTATGTGAGCCTGCAGGACCTTGTCACTGCCTTTGGCCATCGAACCTACTGTGTGAGGCAGGGAAAGCTTCAGTGAGATATGACTGATGACCATAATGGCTGCCAGCAATGTCTCCCCCAGTCCTGTCTGTAGCCTGACCCATGGAACCATTTTCTAACGAGTTACCCTGTTTCTACCCCAATCCCAACACTTTCTCCTCCAGTCAAAGACCAAAGGGATGAATTCTGGTGCACCAAAATCCAGCAGCCTGCATATCACACTTAGAAAACCATGCAGATGTCTGTGACTACCCAGCTGTGGGGTCCAGCTCCTAGTGAGCACTGTTCTCAATACAAGGTGCATTTCCTTTATGTCTCTCCCATCCACTGGACCCTTAGTGTTGTCCTCCAGACATGGCGCATGCTGGAGCAACAGGGCCTTTGAAATTTCTGTTGGTTTTTGGCTGAAAGGCTCTTTTTCAAATAGTCAGTGCTTTCTCTTTGATTACCTGCTGTTTCTTCTCAAGTGTATCTTCCTCAGTGACACCTTCTCTGACCTGCTCATACGGGACAGAACCTCTCTAAACCTCTCTAGTTCTTCGCTCAAATTATTTCCCCTTGTAGTACTTGTAGCATTTGATACCACCCGAGAGAATAAGTATATCGTTGCATCTGGTCTTTCTTCCTGTTTTAAAATTTAAACTTCTTGAAGACACGGGTTCTCTGGTCTTATAGTTTCTGCAGTGCCACCAACTAGAACAAGACCCAACACAAAGCAAGCACTGACAGAAAATGTGTTCTGAGCAGATAAAAAGATAAATATAAGGCTTCTAAAGGATCTTCTTTTCTTTTGTTTTATATTTTGCGAGGTAATCTTGGCGGTTATGAGATGAGTTTCCTGGACCTCTGTCTCCTAGTCAAATTACTATCAAGTGTGAGTCTTCCGTGCAAAAGAATTCAAGCACTGCCTCTGTTGTGTTCACAGATGCCACACAGACCCAGGTCTAGTCATCTAGTGACCCATCTTCCTGCTCTCCTAGGCTGACATGCCACAGGGATCAGTACACTTTTTTTTTTTTTTTTTTTTGGTAAAGCAAGGCCATATAATTCTTTTTGTAAGTCTTCAACTTTGCCTTTATGGTGAGAAAGCAGCTAGAGACAATATGTAAATGAACAAGTAAAACTCTGTGCCAATAAAGCTTTATTTACAAAAACAAGTAGTGGGCCAGAAATCACTGGCTAATTGAGGGTCTAAGATAGT